ACTGCTGCTTTTTCTTTCCTCATCCTTACTGTCCTCATTTTTTTCTTTAAGTCTTTTGCATGTCTGTCACTCTCTTGTGAACTGCTATTTCCGGAGTGCCTTGATAGCCGAAGCAGACTTTGTGCTGTTGAGGCTAGAGAGGTGAGCAGAATAAGCCTGATTTCCCAGTTTGGACCTCTCTGTTGACATCCACCCCTTGGCGCCCATATGACCTTATGCAATTGCGAGCATTGTAAAACCTTACTAAAACTAAAAGGTACACAACGTTTCGTTTAGGGATTACCCACTCCCCATACAATTGTATTGGGATTAGCACGAAAGCAAAAATATTATTGAAGGTCTTGTTTCTGACGTTTCTATTTTGTGCTGTGAACAAAGGGGAGAAGGAGAACTACTAGAAAAACATGACAAAATATAGGACAGTAAAAGCGATGATAACATCTGCGAGAGTGAGAGGATGCAACACAGAAAGTCTAAATAGAAGGGTACACAGTAAAGAATCGATCTGTTTTCTTTTGGTAAAAAAGAGGGTCTTTGTGAGGAAATTCACGTTCATGGGCAAACGTGATGGTTGGACGTCGGGGGTGGATTTAGCGCGTGTCGGAGTCGCCTTCACAACGCTGGGGGTATTGAGGGAAAGCCGAGCTGTTGCAACACTCACACAATAGAGCCGCTCGTGTTGTTTGCTGGTTCTAAGACTTGAGGGTACAAAGACAGGATTGAAATAACATTTGGAAATAATATGTGGGCTAGTTTGTGTATACGTGTGTGTGTTGTGTTTGTGTACGTGTATAATCTTATTGTATGTGTGTGTGTGTGTGTGGGGAGGGTTGTGTTGTGTATGTGTGTTTTTGTATTGTGTGTGTGGTACGGTGTATGTGTGTGTGTGTGTATGTGTGTGTGTCTGTGTGTGTGAATGTGTGTGTTGTGTGTACGTGTGTTTTTGTATTGCGTGTGTGGTTCGTTGTGGCGTGCGTGCGTGCGTGTGTGTATGTGTGTATATTTATATGTGTTTATCTGTTCACGTGTGAGTGCGTGTTTAAGTGTATCTCTGCGTACGTATCTATATGTGTGTATGTGTGTCTGTATTCTTGCGCGTACGACCACCCAAGTTAACACTTCCACGGTCCTCCCCTTCCCCAGTACCGCGCAATCACGGTACCAGAACTCACACAACAGATGTTCGACGCCAAGAACATGATGGCTGCCTGCGACCCCCGGCACGGCCGATACCTCACCGTAGCGTGTATCTTCAGGGGGAGGATGTCCATGAAAGGTGAGATACGGGAACCGAATTGGCGTTGATATCTATCGAGGTTTCTCGGGCTATCTCCCGGTGTTGTTGTTTTTCCTTAGATCTTATCAAGACGATGGGACCAATTAGGGAAATTTAAATCAGGACAGAAGATTTTAACAAAGTACAAGTACTTAATATAAATACAGTCGAATGTGTTAGTGACTGGAGATTGTAAAGCAGAGAGTGGTCATCATAGACAGGTGGATCTTTAGTATAATGTCAGGATAATATAGAATATAATATTATGCTAGGGTCGAAGTGGAAAGGGGCCGTTTGTACAGGGTATTGTCTTCGATTTACTGATAAATAGATGGCTAGTAGAGCTGGTTGAACTGTATTCATGAATTATAAGCATTTTTTCTAAAATTTACTTGTATATTTTTTTTCTCCCTCTCTCCGTGCTCTTTAACAGTGTGTCTGGCATTGTAAATACCGTAGATCACAGCAAAAGCAAGAGAAATCATTTCTATCAGATCATGAAAACACTTTCTTTATCATAATCCTGCTCCCAGCCTATCTAACTCTGGTGACTGTCTCCCCTCAGAGGTGGATGAACAGATGTTGAACGTACAGAACAAGAACTCGTCCTACTTCGTGGAGTGGATCCCCAGCAACGTGAAGACGGCGGTGTGCGACATCCCGCCCCGGGGACTCAAGATGTCCTCCACCTTCATCGGGAACACCACCAGCATCCAGGAACTTTTCAAACGGATCTCAGAGCAGTTCACTGGTCAGTTGGATACCTATTTATGGTCGCTTTAAGCACAAGGGGGCTATCCCCAAAAAAGCTGTTTTGAGAAAATCGAAGGTTAAATGTTTGCCCCTTGTTCAGTTTCTTTAAAAGACAAGGAGAGTTTTTTCTATAACCAAACAAATATACACGCCAATGAAACCAAACTTCCTCTTTAGGTAGGGCAATGCCCACTTTTGGTGTAGGTCAAGACTTCTGGAAATCTGTGAAATCTAGGTTAGCCCGCTTGTCCATAAAAGCGACCATTTATACTTTTGTTGGTAAGGGTGCGGTGGTGGAGCGGTTAGTGCGCTCGTCTCCGAAGCGGAAAGTCCGGGTTTGAGCCTCGGTTGGGACATAATTTTTTTTGGCCCCCTCTTGCCCACCCAGCAGTAATGGGACCTGACTTGAAGTTGGGGAAGTAAAGGCGGCGTGGAAAGGAACTGGCCACCCTACCACAATATGCTGAAGGCCCAGGAAGTCGTCTCAGTAACAAGGCAATCCTCAATGTCCGGATCGGATGAGGGAACGACTTTACTTTCCTTACTTCTGTTTGTTCCCAAGCATCATGTTAATTATACATTATGTATAGTATGGTTCTATCTGCGGTGAGTCGAGGCGTTTAGGATCATTACGAGATGCTTTCTATTTTCCTTACTTTACTCTCTGCAATAGAAGCAAGTTCATGATTGACAAAATATCAGTACCATCATAACTATTTTTGTTTAGTTGTTCACTTTGCAATGCTATGCAGAACAATTCGAGGGTGTTTTTGATAGATAATTCTCGATTCCCTTTCCTTTGATGTTTCTGGCTGTCTGTGTGTCGTTTGTCTGTTCCTTCCATTCAAAGATAACCATTGTTTCGACGTGCAGTTTTTCCACAGTAAAATGTAATGCTTTCTTAGTAAATTCACGAACACGTTAATGGTATTGAAATACTAGCGTATTAGGCATATATTCCACTCAGTATTTAAAGCTGAGTCTGCTCGCACAATCGGCAATAGAAGAATCTGTGTCAAAACCCGCGTTGTCACCGACTGGGCGGTGGTTGGAGGGCAAAGACATTTCCATGTTGACTTTCTATCCTTGTCTCTCCTCCTCTATTGTGTGTGATATTTACCGTCTTGTAACATCTCAATCGTCCACTTTTAAATGACCTTATTGTGTTGCAAGTGCCGAAAAATTCTTACCACAACATGACCATGACTCTACTGAAACAACATTATTTAGGTATACCTTTTCAAACCAAATAAAAGAATGAAATCTTACTACACTGCAATATACTTGATTCTGCTTGCAGCCATGTTCCGGCGGAAAGCTTTCTTGCACTGGTACACGGGCGAAGGAATGGATGAGATGGAGTTCACAGAGGCAGAGTCCAACATGAACGATCTGGTGTCGGAGTACCAGCAATACCAGGATGCAACGGCTGAGGAGGAGGGAGAGATGGACGAGGAGGAGGAGGAAGAGAATGCGTAAAGAATGAGAGGATGAAAGATTTAAAATCAGGCTACGCTGAGGGTTGGTTCGGAAACATTAAAGAATTTTAAGCCCCCATCACTTTCAGATTTCGAGGAACATGCGCGGCCCAGAAATATCACTTCCGTAATTCGAAGTACTCATTGCACGTAGCTTTAAGTACTTATCGCGAGAAGACTTACACCAGTAGTATTTCTGAGCAGCGTAGACTAAACAGATAATTCTAGTTGAAATCTGAACAGCATACACAAAACATACAGGCAACGGGCATCTTGCGGTCTCCATAGCCCTTCACATCGTTGAACAAAATCTCCGATTTCCCAGTGGACTGACGGAGCAGCGTTCATGGGGCTTAGTCCTTTATCTATCCCCCCAACCTGTAGGCTTTGGCTTGGAACTTCCTTGGCTGCGTCAAACGCACCCATAACGAATGTTTTACCCCCCTAATGTTTCCAGATGCAAAAGTGCAGTTATTATTTCGTTGCTTTTTACATTCACAAAAGATAATGGGCTATACCACATTTGCATAACTGCCATGGTGCTTAATTGATCGAACTGTATCAATAGCACCGTTGCAAAAATATACATCAGCCGGATTTAGCAACTGTCGATAGTGTTTACAGAATGCACTAGGTACATTGCAAAAGAATCAAATTCAATATTTATTATTCAGATAGCGTTTTTACCATAAAACTGGGCAAATATTTCGGAGTGAATGCAGCTGTTTGATTTTAACAGAGGGCGTTTCAGAGTAAAAATGATTCCATCAAGGCAAATTCAACATCAGAATCAGAATCGGAGAGAGAGGTTGGATAATAACCTTGGAACGTAATTTCCCCTTTTGCTCCATCTAACGCGAATAAAAGAGTATGGCTTTAATAATGCGTTGTTTTTTTGGTTTTGAATTGAAGAGTAATCTCTCAATTGTGTTTGTCAGTGCTTTGCTTTTGACTTTGTTTGACCTGACAATTGAGGTTACGTTTTACGTTTCTGTTGTTTTCTTTTAATATATTTATGTTTGTTTGGTTGGTTTTTTTGGGGTTTTTTTTTGGGGGGGGGGGGTTTGTGTGTGTGTTACTAATTGTGTCGTTTTTGTTGTGGTGGTTTTTGGTTTTTGTTTGATTGTTATTTCATTTTTCAAGAAACGTACCAGAAGTAAGCTACTTGCTGTGGAATGAATGATGTCTTCTGTAGTCCCTGCTCCTTTTCTTTCTCTCATTTTATGTATGTTTGGTTATCTTGTTTTTTCCTGTAACCGTTATCGTGCCAATGTATTTCTTTTTAATGAAACCTATGAAAGAAGTCCTAGACCTCAAACTTTACTTTTTTTAAAAGGAAGAAAATATGCTGATCATTAAAAGTAAACTGTGGCTGTCACTATTTTCTGTTTGGAAAAATGCACCTTTAGTTGTGTATAGTTTGCCAATGACATTGACCATGCTCTCACACTGGGGAGGTAGATTTTGTTTTGTGATGTTTTGCTGAGACTTTTTTTTAAAGAGCAGGGGTTGGGGGGGGGGTGAGGGTGGGAGAGGTGGGCCCTAAACGTAAACAGATCCGATATATGACCATAAGCGGAGGTCCACGCATCTCCAGTCCGTGAGAACATAAGTACAAACTGCGCAGATCTCCTGGGAACTGCAGCTATCAGCGGCTGTAGTCTGTCCGATCCTCTGGTCAGTCTGACGGTGAACATACCCACAGGACATACCACGAGGCGCCGGACATCGTGTCTTGCTCAGATCTTTGCGATGTCCGCTAGTGGTCAACATGTCACAGCTCGGTGCAACATGCTGTCATACGTCACTGGATCACCGCAGATCTCTGTCTGCTCGTTCCCACGACGCTCTGGTGCCTTCTTGAGTGGGTGGTTGGTGGTGGGTGGGTGAGTTAGTGGTTGGTGGTGAGTGGACGGGTGGGTTGTGAGGAACGTAACTTCAAACAGTCAATGTCATCGCCGGGGTGTTTTGTCTTTGTTTATTTCTATAACTAGTATGATGTTATAATTATAACTTTATGACCATTGATATGCTGGGTGACAAAGAAGTAAAAATAAGCCGTGGTCTTTCGGGGGTTCAAGAAGCGGGCCCGACGTTGTGTCCTTGGGAAAGGCACTTTACACGAATTTTCCTCATTTCACCCGGGTGGGAATGGGTACCCGGCTATAGACAGCGAAAGATCTTGTCAGTATGTTATTGTTTTAGCACCTATAAATTATAAATGACCGCTTGCACTGTATGCTTCCCAGGAAGTTGAGGTTGTTTTAGAATGCTCTCAGGTCTGCTGGAGTAATAGTATAGATTGTAAAGCGCATAGAGCTTGCTGTTGAGCGGGGATTTGCGCTACACAAATTGTATCTATTATTATTTTTTTTATTTTTATTATTATTATTATTATTATTATTATTATTATTATTATTATTATTATTATTATTTTATTAATATCATTATTATTATTACTATTATCATTATTATTATTATCATCATGACTATCACACTCATTAATATTATTATTACTTTTGTTCTAGTTATTACTAATGCTAACGTTGCTATTATTGTTATTAGTTTTGTTGTTAGGGAATAAGAAAGGCATGAGTCAGAGTGATATTTTGTTTGGAAAAATCTGAAATGTAGAAGGAGCATCCTAGTAGTACATAATATACGTGACAGTTACACCACAGTCGCTCAGAGTGAGAGCAGAGAGGGTGAGAGAGAGAGAGAGAGAGAGAGAGAGAGAGAGAGAGAGAGAGAGAGAGAGAGAGAGAGAGGGAGAGAGATAGAGAGAAAGGGAGAGAGATAGAGAGTGAGGGAGAAGGAGAGGGGGAGGGAGAGAGGGTGAGAAAGGGAGAGAGAGAGAGAGAGAGAGAGAGAGAGAGAGAGAGAGAGAGAGAGAAAGAGAGGGAAAGATAGAGAGAAAAATAGAGAGGGAGAGAGTGAAAGCCAAAGAGAGATACATACAAAGACAGAAAACAAAACGGAAGCATGAGAGATATACGAAGAGAGAAAGAGAGAAAGAGAGAGAGAGAGTGAGAGAGAGAGAGAGAGAGAGAGAGAGAGAGAGAGAGAGAGAGAGAGGGGGGGGGAGTAAGAGAGAGAGAGAGAGACAGACAGACAGACAGAGACAAAGAGAGAAACAGAGAGATATAAAGAGAGAGACATAGAAAGAGAGACAGACAAAGGGACAGCGAAAAAAACACACCAAAAAGTGAACTCAAAACGGGTGGCTGGGGTGTAGAAAGGAATTCTTAAGGGTTAAGAGGAGCCGGGGCGATTGAGACATTTGGGGGGGGGGGGTCTACGGGTGGAGGAAAAAGATGTCAGCAAATAGTGAAGCGTGCACACAGCTAGACAAAGACGGAGATGTTTTCCAGCCTCTACCTATAACAACTACACAAGTGAGGGATTTCATTTTACTTCTTCTTCCTCAAACATCCACTCCTTATTGACCTAATATATCTTTCTGGGGCCACTTAACGGGACCTCTCTAGGCCCTGACAATATTTGAGGAGCCAACTATCACTTGGCCTGTGACACGCGCGTAGTCCTGGGGCCAGGGAACTGACGACAAACAAGGTTGACCTTTCTGTCGTGTCAGAGACACAGAGGTCACAGAGGTGGGGACCGGACGCTGGCCGTAGGAACAATGTCGTGGAACAATTTGAATGTCGTATCTCGTGGAACAATGTCGTATCTCGTGGTGGAACAATGTCGTATCTCGTGGTGGAACAATGTCGTATCTCGTGGTGGAACAATGTCGTATCTCGTGGAACAATGTCGTATCTCGTAGTGGAACAATGTCGTGGTACAATGTCGTGTCTCTTGGAACAATGTCGTATCTCGAGGTGGAACAATGTCGTATCTCGTGGAACAATGTCGTGGAACAATGTCGCGTCTAATGGAACAATGCTCAACTGTAAAAGTATTGTTTGACGCTACCCCACCCCTCCCTCACTCCCTTACCCTCCCTGACCCTGCTCGTCCTTCCCACGTGCATGTAAGGTTCTGTTTATGTTTTTGTTTTTGCTTTTTGTTGGTGTGTTATGTTTTTTGTTGTTTTTTTGGTCGTTTGAATTTTGTTTGTTTTTGTTTTTGAAGTTGCTTTGCTTTTATTTGATTTGTTGTTGTTGTTGTTGTTGTTATTATTGTTGTTGTTGTTGTTATTTTTATTGTTGCTATATTACGTATGTTTTGGATTTTTTTTTTTCTGGGTGGGGGGTGGAGCGTGGTATTTTCTTTCGTGGTGTCAATGAAGTTGAATTGAAAATTACTTATATTTTGTGACAAAAGCCTTATCAACGCCAAGATACGGCACCGACAAATGGAAGACAAGATTGCTACTTTTTCTGTCCCCTCTGTGGCGATGGCTTGTATGGTTTGTTTAATTAGATAAACAAATATTGATGCTCCCGCCAAGACACGTAGCTTGCCTAGAATGCTGGTAAACTATCGATATTCCGCACACCCTTGTGTTACTAAAGTATAGTGTCGCATTTACGCCTTCGCTTTGTATCGATTGGGACGCAAAACACCTGTATTAAAAGAATAACAAGAGCTTAGAAATATCTTTTACGGATTTAACTCTTTTATCTTGAGACCTGTCTCCTCTTCCATTAAGCTTCTCGGAATGTCGCTCTCTCAGATCTCAGGTTCTGAAGTGGGTCTCTGTTGATACCAAGTACTGCTGGCGGATATCTTAGTGTCTTAAAATAGAGGGCGACCTTTTTTCATCCTCCCAATCTAAGGTATCGCAAAGCGTTGAAAACTACACAAAAAACAAAAATCTAAACGGCATTCTGCAAGGATTCGGGCTAGGAACTACTCAACTACTAATTGCAGGGAGAACGCTGTTTGGCACGTTTGCCTTCAACTGTGAGAGACTGATCGTGGTAATGATACAAGCACACCAATTATCAAAAGCAAATGTCGTTTGTAGGCGTATTCTCGATTTGGCTCGAATTCTCTGAGAATGTTCTATATTTATATTTTATGTTGTTTGTTCATGAGCCGGCTTAGTTTGACGTAGATTTTTTTTATCATGTTGACTTTTAACGCCCTGGAGATGAAGAACATATGACATTGGTTTGAAACTTGAACACTTAGCACCCCACCCCCTCCAATTAAAAACAAAACAAAACATACACAAACACAAACAAACCAAAACAACAACTGCAACAACAGCAAATAACAAACGAAACAAACTGCACTCCTTTTTTTATCATATAAAAGACATCTAAATGGAACAAAAAGGAGAACGTTCGTCTACAAAGATCCACAATGGTTGGACATCTGATTCTATTCTAAGGTTGCCGTTGGAGCGCCGATGGCTTTGTGTTATACTTGACCTCAGTGGGATTGACCATTGCCTTTTTGACTATGTATTGCGCTTGACTGTCGTGAGATTGACCGTTGCATTGTCGACTATGTATTATGCTTGACTGTAGTGAGATTTACCATTGCTTTGTCGACTAAAATATTATCCTTGACTTCAGTGCGATTGACCATTACAATGTCGAGACCCTTATAGAGCATTTATCAAAAACAGTGATTGGTTGGAAAATTTTTACCGACTCTTCTCCCCCTTGGCTTGGTTCAATTTCTCGAGGCTCGTGCTATCTTGTAATAACATCATTTTTCCGGCTTTGTCCTAAATGATATAAATCGCTTTAAAAGTATGGATTTTCAGCTGTGAAAACAGTGAGTTAGTACAAAATGAAACATAACTTCTACGGTACACTGGCATAAACCCTACTACTTTGGGGCAATAGTGAAAGTGAAGAATTTTCAACAACCTGGACAGTTATGGCCAAAAAAAAACCCCAACAACAACAACAACCACAACAACAACAACAACCACAACAACAACAACGACAAAAAATCCCCT